ATCACCTGCGGCGTCTAATTTCCACAAACAGATAATCTTTTGCCAGATGCAACAATATAAATCAAAGGCAAAAAACCTCTTGTTCCTCCCCTCCCTTACGTCCATTCTTGTGTGTGAAGATGACGGATATGACCACAAATTACCGTAACTTGTTGTCAAAGGCGTAACTCTATCAACAAAACAAACCAGATCAGACAGAACGGTTTTGGTAAATGCCTTCAATTAATTAGCGGCTAATTTTCCATAGCTTAACCCTTGGTTAGATAATTACTATAAGCTTACTAAATAGAGGTGTAATCTTATCAGAGAATGTCACCAGCGGCGACAGATGAGGTGGCCCCATTCGGGCTATGGACACAATGTGCACGAAACTTGTTTTCTAGAAAAAGTTCGGCATCTAAAATATTGTGATGGCGCCTAAATAAATAGTAAAGATAGTTTAGCAATAATTTTTAGTATTTTATTACTGTAATGGTCTTATAATAGAATAAAAGCAAATATTTCGATAGCGTGATTTAGTTTGTTTGTATTCCTGCCCTTTGAGAAGTAGATGTCGCACGAATGATAATTTCACGCGATTACAGGTTTAGATGTTGCAATAACCCGTGTTTAATTTTCTTTCTCTCTCCCACCCTCTCTGTAGTCTAATGAGCGTTGCTCTAAGGATAAGTTTCTTTGTAGTTTTAACACAAAGCTAAAAAAAAGATGTTTACCTCAGTAAAAAACGAAAAAGTTCTATGCTTTCCTAATTTAAGAGAATACTGAACTTTCTTTCTGTTTATTCACAGGTTTGGTTCAAAAATAAACGAGCCAAATGTCGCCAGCAAAACAAGCAGTCAGCGGGATCCCAAAGCAAACCAGGTACGCTGAAGAGAAAAATTCCCTCCCCACCCTTGCAAGATCCAGTCAAGCCGGCAAAGAGAAACACGCCTCCGTCGCAATCGGATCAATCAGTCAAAAAGTTGTCTCATGATTCGGTCGATTCGTGGCCGCAACAAAGCATGAATACAGTGGATCAGAACATGAAAACAATGTTAAAAATTCAGAGGAGTGGGCTATACCCGCCCTCAACTGTAGTCAATGGCCACAGGGCCGCATCGTCACCAAGTACGCTGCCGTCGCAGTTTTATCCGATCCACAAACCAGATTTTCCGCCGTATGCAAAAAACATACATATGGCTAACTGGATGGCCATCAACCATACTGTAAAACCTGGTTATTTTACACCTGCAATGATATGATTTGTAGCCCATTATTTCACAAAGAACAAAGTAAAAACAATATTTATTTACTACAGTAATTCTAAATTGGTAAATTGTGCAGGAACATTCAGAACATTAACTACGACAATGTAAGTAGACGCTCTTCATTGTGTTGGTGTGACAACTGAAGACTCAAATGGACGGGACCGCAATGTAACGAACTTATAGATCCTGATTTAAAACTCAGTCTTATATTTCGACTATTGTTATATAGCCCAATCTGGAAAAAGTCAGTGTACATGTTATGTTGCGTAGTTGTTTTCTGAGTTATGGTCTAGATATTAAGAGTGATTACTAATAAAGAATTTTTACTAGTATTGGTAAATATTCGTATTTACCTCAAATAAGAAAGTTATGCTTAAGACTATGGACTGACATCGAAGATCATTTTGGGCGTAAATAGGATAAATTGAATTCTCCAGTGGCGTATGAAAATAATCATAAGAATAACCCAATGGTAAAGTTCTTTTTTTAACGGAATCATTCGTTTCTAGGACTAATTGCATAATCTGAATCTTCTTGAACGTTCGAAACTAAATACTTTGCATACTAAACCATTACAAGTGGTAACGGAAAGATCACTTTCTTACTTCTTGAACATATTTGCACTGAATAACTCCGGCAAACACTGATCATGAAAAATTCGATAGATTGCGCAAAAAAAATCGTATGATATATTGTATTTCCCGAGTTCTAGTCGGTTTACAGGCCGCAGAATCTGGGCTCATATACCTTAGATCATAAACATTGAAACAAAAAAACATTTACAGATATTTATCTGATATTTTCGCGAAAGAAATGATTCAAATAGCCCTTCTTTTTTCCAGGTGTTTCCTTTTTTTGTCCTTTACACTCACTTTTTTTTATTTCTTATAATCATCATAATTTTTATCATCATTGGACTCCTTTCTTTTCACTCGTATGCATAATTATCAAACACATCTTTTAGGCTGTCCAAAACTGAACTACTTCGCCACGCTCTGCGCATGTCTTTATTCAAGAAAAAGAGCGCAATAGAAGAGCCGCGCAATATCTCCGTCTGGAAGGGAGGAGAGTTAGTATGATGTGATACGTGTATTAAAGCCATGTACACTGGAAGAAGTAATGACCGTGTTGAAAGCACTCGCTGTGATGAGCCAAAATGTAATAGACCTATGCCATTTGATATTCAATCTCCAACCGCAAAACTCATGATCCTAAATGTTTTGTTAGCAGAAAAAATTTGCCGAGTCATATTGAGTTGAAGAGGAAGTGTGTGATTAAGACTTCCTGAGAAAACCGAACGTGCATTCGAGAGAATTCATTTTCCTGTTGAATGGTTCCACAACAAAGAGTTCAACTCATCAATGATAAAGGCTTGAAGACATCCAAGTTCCTGAAACAGCAAACATAAGAATCTTCCCTGTGTAAATCGAGGTGATGTACCGAGTAATTTGTATAAAGAGTGATGGTAATTTTAAACTCAGGAAAAACTTTTGTTTCAGAGTCACGTCCTTCTTTAGCTTACAATGATGTTAAGTTAATTTCAGAAACTTTGCCATTGTTAACGTTCCAACAGTACTTTATCCACGAGCAAAACACCTCTTAATCCGATTTGTAAGTCATACGGTATACTTTTTGAGATGAAATTTGTATCTTTAAATTGTTTATGATAACGATAGCTTGTTATTTTTATATCTTGTGTGTCTATATCGGCTCGAATTCCACATTAGTTTAATTGGAAAATTTAAAACAATGGTCTTCGAGCGAAAACTTCTCTCACCAATCTTGCGACAAGTGTCTGTGAAGTAGGAAACTATAAGTATGTTAATTTTCAGAGTCATCGTTTAGTTGAAGACCACGAATTCTAAAGACAGAGATAATAGCAATGATGTACAATGTCAATAATTTCTTTAAAAAAACGAAAGGTCACAATTCAAAACAATGGTCTCTGATACTTCGGTGTTCTTTTCACTCAAAAAAATTTTTTTTCCTTGCTGAATCTGTATCAATTGACTTCTTGAAGACAGACACTGAAAAGTTGATTGTTAACTCGTGACTCAATGACCAAGCTTCAAATTCTTGATCAAGATATTCTTTCCACTTTCATGAACCATGACGAAGTAAGGTTCATTAACTATTGCTGATGAATCGAACGTGGCCGGATAAATAAATATAATCTATCTATCTATCTATGAAAACGTAGGAAAAGAACGGCTATTGAAGATAAGATTGATTGATTGCAAAAAAGAATTCAAAGATAAATTTTAAAAAATTGGTTATGTTTGTTTGAACCCTTTTAATATATGTGTTGCGAGGCCATTGCTGCAAAAACTTTCGAGGAAATGTTTTTATTAAACAAAAAAATTGATACCTGCAGGTAAGGAAGTTCGATATATGTAGAGTTGCTACAAGTAATTTGAATTTGTAGTTTTCAGGGCTTTTTTAAATTTTTGAATACTCAACATTGGCAATTCTCCCAACAAAGTTTAACTCAAAGCAAAGGATTTGTTTATTTGTGCCAGCTATACACACGTGATGATATAGCTAACAAGCCGGCATGCGAGCTATTATCATCTGTATTCCTACGTTGAGTGAGCAGAATTTCATCCGCAGAAAAGCCTCCCACCTGTTAAATTGAATTTAACGGTTTTTTTCAGTGTCCAAGAGTGATATTTAAGAAAAATCATTACTTCCCTATTGATATTGTTTAATGTTTTCTGGTTCTACAGTTTCCTTCAGAGCTCCTATTCAGTACTCTTCTTTGTAATTTATATGATGCCTTCAATCTTCAGTCGTATATTTAAAAATAACACAAAAAAATAGATAGACATATAATATAAAGACAGTGGGAGACATTTGCCTTCAGGGTTAAAGTACAAGGTTATCAAATGTCCTAAGAAATTTGCAGGTCGTAACTGGTCAATTTTATGAACACGTCGAGTGTGCTTTATACGGAAGATGATTTCACCAAACATGTACAGGCGCACAAGAATCACGAGGCCTTTGATAAGGAATATTGTTCTTTGTTTATTGTTTTTTAAGCCCTTGAGAATACCTTGAGACTTTCGCGTGCCTCTAGAACTTAAACTAACATGCTCCCTTGAGTGACCAGGAAAGAATTTCTCCATACAATATCAATACAATATCAAGCAGACAAGCGATGAGAATAAAGACAAATATCAATTAAGGGGTTATTAGTTGATCCAATACCAAATTCTTCGAACTAACATCATAAGAATTGTATGGCAGACAGTAAGGAAAGGGTTAATGGTGTCTTTTTAAAGGTTCGTTGTCGTTGATCGAATATTCTGTGGCTTCTATGTGTGTGGCGGACGGTAATAACAATGAAAATAAAATTATATCAGATGTCAAAATATTACTCTTTTAATGGAGTAATGTGTTGTGGCTTGTTTTCTCCCGTCCAAGAGTGTACAGCGAGTCACTTTGAGATCATAATCAGTGAATTACTGAATCATAGCCGATAAATTATCACACAAAACATGCAAAAACGCTGTAGTCTCGTGGCTTGATAAAGCTGGTAGCCACAGGGAAAATATATAAACTGATGAGTATTTTTCATTTTGGAGGCGTCAGTTAATGTCAGTCATTTGTTACAATATCCCTTCTCTTCTTCTTCTTAGACAAACAGACTTATTTGCGTCCGATCTTAGATATGTCTTCCGATAAACCGTCGCTTAGGTCCGGGGGCACTCCTAGAGATTCTTCGTAAGGGTGAGTTGCCTGGTTCCCTTGAAAACGACATCCGATATAAAGACCATGATAGTCAAAATCTCAACCATACCCTTTGGACGGCGTACACCTGTGTAACCTATGTAGCCTCATTCCTCCCCCCTCCCCCGTTCGAACTTTGATCAAAATACCAACTCTATCACTATGAACTCCCTGAAATGTGACGATTATTTCGGCGTCCACTTTATGGGTAGACATTTAGGCTGTCTGATATAACTGTTCAACGTTAAAATTAAAATATTTAGTCTCGAATAAGGAGATGATCTCGGAAATAGCATGGAAAATTTTATCCCTCACACTTCAGCACGATGTATTTTTCCGGCTGAAGAAAATGGGATGTTTCCAATTTCATTAATCAGTTTTTTGTGCAAATCAACGCGCACTTATCACCGTGCAACAGCCTTCTTTTATTAAATCGTCCATAGTTATCTAACTTACTACCCACAGCTAAAAAATTCCACTAGATTTTTAGACCAAACAAAGTTTTGTTTTTCTCAAAAACAATTATCAAGACAGAGGCTACAGATGGGTTATCAGTGCCTCAGGGAATACACTACAATAATAACATATGATATTCCTGGCTGAAACTTGAGAGAAGGGAATTTTTTTTTGTTTCGGTCAGAAATATAGAGTTCATCACTGTCAGAACTCACGTCCGTCTTTCTATATCTTTTCTAACCGTTCTGAATCTTTTGGCGTTGCCAACACAGAGAGAAATCGGCGACGAAAATCAGCTCAGATTCTTGTTTGATTCGCTAACTGGACAGAAAGGAAAGGTAGTGACAACAGAATTAATATTTCTAAGGCAAGATAATGTAAATAGACATATTTTTTTATCGAATATAATGGCACAAATAAACCTTTTTTTTATTTCGTAACATTAGGCCAGAATTTACTGATCAGCAACCGAACATTTTACGTCACTGAACCCTTGAACTTAAGCTCAGTTCTGGACTGAAGCCAACAAATATTTTAAGCCAATTATAGTTATATCTTAAGTTTTCTATCATCCGTTAGGTTCTTTCTGAGACAAACAGGAAAACTGAACGAAAGTGACAGAAATGGCAGGCCCGTATGGACGTCTTCCGCCTGGTACAACAAATCTTACACTGATGCATGGTTTTGGTTTTAACTCGTTCAATATGGATTTTGTCAAGCTCGAGACACTCAAATACGAAGGTACATTATATTAACCTCTCAGGTCAATATGCTTTACATTTGTAAGTGAATTTCCGATCTAACTCACACATCGAGCAGATTCACGCTATAAAAAGCGAAACTAGACACACAAAATAACAGTCTTGTACAGTTCACATCAAAGCGTTTTCGTTCCCTACTGCCTTGATGTAGTTTCTGTTTCGCGAAGTTTCACGAGAAGGGAAAGTTTTGCGCTTTCGTGTGTTAAAATCATTTTTGTACAACGCTGAAGTGTAAGCCTCTACTAAGAAGGAAACTGCTAATCCTAACCGAACACAATGTTCATAAAAAGCTATTTACACTATTCTGTTAAGGTACAATCCCCTATGCTCTTTCTCTGAGTACCTGACTAGCCAGAGAGGCGCATTTTTCAAGTCAAACCTTCCGTTTTGCTGTAATCTGCTCGGTTTAACACATTTTTTATTAAATAATCTTTCCCCTAACTCGGTTACACTTGGTTTTTTTTAAGAATCCTTCTTCCCTTTGAAAGTTTTGGCATTCCAAGAAGATCCCCTCCCAGTTGTCTCCATAGCAACGAAATTCACTTGGCACGTGCTTCCTGTTTTGAGTGTCGGTAACAGAGTCAGTAGATTCTCTCGTGACTTTGAGCGATTTTTTGATTGCCCTATTTAACATTACCAGTAGATTGTTCATTAATCGAGTTAAAGTAAAGTGTCCCTCAAACCTCAAAGACTCGAGAATTATCTTTTTAAAGCAAATATAAGTTAAGGTAGTAATCCCATAAATTAGAGAGCTGTGCGACCAAAAGCGCATGAAAAGTAATATCACGAGATGTGTAAAAAGGTCTCAGGGTGAAACTATTCTCACAAATCCTTAAATTTAAAGCAACAAATTGCTGAGACTAGAAGCACTTTGCCACTCACCCCTTTAGCAGCGTGAGGATCGACATCCTCATTTTTTGACTGGTTATGGCGCTTAATTGGATGAGTTGCCCACCTTACTGGGGCTGTTTTCACTGTTTAGCATCAAGACCATTCATTGAAGGTACATATCAGAATATCATCGTGTTTTTTTGGTCAGCTGTTTCCAGAATGAACTAAGATTTTTTTCAAGCACGGATCTCTCTTGTTCGGCAATTTACGTGCAAGCATTTGATCGACTACAAAGCAAGGAGCAGGGTTTGATTGTATCAGTTACGTAAACACAACGGAAAAGTAGTTTGAGCAAATGTGTTGCTTTTGCCAGGAAGGCTACAGCCTAATTTATGCTAACTAGGGATTTTTCGTGTTCAAATGTTCGCAAAACCTTTAGTTGTGAGACTCCACTTTTCAAATTGACAGCGTCTTTTCTACAATTACCCTGATCGTTTAATATTATGAAAGGAATGGGTTCGGCTCGTTACAGTGGACTAATCAGGGATAATGGCAGATTATGATTATCAATAATGGGGCTGTGAACCTACTCTCAGAGATTTTCATCAATTTTCTTTGGCCACAAATGACAGAACTTGTTTAAAATCTAAACTTAAAAAAAATCTGGTAGAGAAAAAAGAGAAACTATACGGCGTTTAGCTTGAGAATTGAAAAATATTGGTGTATAACGACAATTTTATTGCTGAGCCTCAAGTATTACAATGCACAGCTTTATGAAAGACATCTTCTATTGCCAAAGCATGTTTCAATCCAGGTTATTTTATGCATTGAAAGAAGGCCCACTTGCATACTCCATCTTCACTAACACTTATTTTCTTATCGTTAAGAACATAAGGTGCTCACATTACGATCATATTTGGTGTTGCTAGCATCCACACTTCTTTTCTCTGACTCTCAGGAATAATTGATGAGTCGTTTTTTTTGTTTGTTTTTTTTTTTTTTGCAATATCGGGGTGTGTCGTGCAGAAAGGTAATAGGGATGCTGGAAGCAAGAGGAGATCATTGTAACATCTTGGAACTAAAAGTATAAAAAAGCCTCTGCCATTTTGCTATGAACCTCTGTATGATACCGAACTGTGGTCCAGGTGTGTGGGCCTCAATAGTTTAAGTCTCCCGGTTGAATATCCATACACAATTCTCAATTCCTTAACAATTGTTAAATACTGTTTATACAAATAAATATTTCTGAACTTTCTTTGTCAACACTTCTTTTTCGACCCCTATGTTTTTTCAGGTCCTCCAAGAAAGCAACGCAGGGAGCGAACGACTTTTACTAAAGCTCAACTTGAAATCCTAGAGGATCTCTTCAGCAAAACAAAATACCCTGATATCTTCATGAGAGAAGACGTCGCCACGAAAATCAATCTGCCAGAGAGCAGAGTACAGGTAGGAAAACTTGTTTCAGTTTGTTGTATGTTTTTTGTTTTTTCCCGGTCGGATTTGACCCAGGTACCGCAGCCGGGAAGGAACTGACTTTGAATATAACAAAGGCAAAAAAAGCAAAATCTCTTCTTAATATGCCAACTACAGTTTGTGTTTGTCAGTTAAATCGCTTTCTTCTTTTTTGATACCCAGAATGCCCATCAGTCTTGCATTTGACCTTTGCTTGTTTGTTTGCCTATGTTGTTGTTTTCCAACTTATTTTTGGTAATTAATTATACAAATTCTGTCAACTTTGATTCCTGTAGCGCACCTTTATTTTACTAGTTAAGTCTTCCTAACCTTCCAAACTTATTCACTCTATTAAAAAGTAAATAAATGAAAAAAACGAAAACTTACAATCAACTGTCATAAACATATCATTGTTGCTCTGCTCAAATCTAACAATTGAGGGATTGAAGCTATCATTGAAGTAGGCTCTGCTCCATATGGGGCATCCAATTAAACTTACGCAAACGATTTTTTAATCCAGCATTAATCCTTTTCTTTCTTTATTAGCTTAGTCTATGAGCTGCTAAGAAGTGTAGTATGCGATAATGGTATTATACGATGGCGCAAAACTGGCTCTCTCGTCAGCACGCGAGCCCACTAGCTTAGTACATAATTTGCAAAAAACATCCCTTGGTACCTCGATAATCGCGTTGTTACATTAGGGTGAAATAATCTGAAATCGAAATGTACTTTGAACCTTGATTAGTCACAGTTTTGCTAGAATCGCATGCAAGTAAATTAATTTTCCGTGAGTCATGAGAAGTTTTAATGGACTTCCTGATCTTTCGAGTACATTCCGGATACTTGAAACCTCGGTCACGCGATCAAATTTGATTGGTCAATTGAAAATGGAACGGCTCTTGGAATTTTCAGCGCGTTGTGGCGTTGTCTCACCTCGTTGAACCGTTATTGCTGCATATGAAACCATCTAGTGACATATCGGGAAATATTTTATTGCAGTTGCACTTAACTATTCATCTCATGATTTCACCGTCTCATAATAGAGATTTAATTACTTCTGCACTTTACCAGAATGAACAACCGAGTAACCCCTTTTTGATGCAACTCTGAATTTTTACTACCTTCATCACCAGCCACATAATTTCCATCCCACTTATCAAAGAACTGAGTATTGTTTACAATTACTTTTGTGACTTAGAAGCCTTTATCACAAGTAAACTGTTCCTTTTGTTTTATAAGATAGTATCGATTCCTTTTCGCCTCTTTCAGGTCTGGTTTAAAAACAAGCGCGCCAAGTATCGTCAACTGAAGAAACAACAACAAGAAATGCAAAACAAACCAGACCAGGTTAAAGTCAAACCATGCTCCTCATTACCACCCCCAGGGGACCAAGCTATCAGTCCGGAACCCAACAAAGCATCGAAAAATTTGAACTTTAGAGGAGTCGCAATACCACAGAATGACGTCACAGAGTTCCTGAAACACAGTAGTCTGCTGAAACAAAACGTAGAGAAACAAGAAGGTTATCGGCCTTTTAAACCGGTTGATAACGCTGTTGAAGACCATTTAATGGATCTGGCGAATTATGTTCACAAAAAATGCATGACAACTTAATCACGGATTGAAAAAGACAAAGAAAGATATAAAAAAATTAATACGAAGAGAGGTTAATTGAATGCTTACTACGCTCTCTGTGAACGACGAAGTTTACCAATCTGATCATTATTTCTCTACTATTTCCTATCTGTGACGTATCTCGTTTATAACTTTACCCAGTCCTTCCTATACTCCTCAGCTATCGAGCACCAAAGACTTATTCGCTATTCATATTTAAACAGTAACAAGCTCAATACCTTAGACGTTCAAAACGAGACCTTGCATCTTTTGCTCATGTAAGAGCCGTGTGTGTATATATACCATGAAAATTGCCTTCGTGATGACGTTAGATTGTAAAGTAACTATGCCATTCCGTAATTGATCATGTAAGCGTTGAGATATTGAAATTAAATGTATAGTTAGCGGCAGGAAAGTCGATTCCATTTTTAATAAACTCCTACAGATTCTTTTCATAATGTCTCCCGTCCAATATTCTGTTAAACATTTAATCACGTCTGTACATGGTAAAAACACAGACAATCGCAAAAAACTGTCGTTGTTCCTATCTGCATTAGAGGAATGCAAGTAGATTGACAGTGAAAGTATTGTGATGTGTAAGCAATGTTTCCTTTTTTTTTTCTTTCTCGCCTTTGCGATACCGGTGCAATGTTCTATCAACTGAGCTAACCAGCCAACTGGGAGCTGGATCACTTTCATATTCATTTCTTAATCCGCATTTCACATACATGATTTTCATATGTTCACAGTGAAGCCAAAATAGTTGAAGCAAATTCTCGCTGAAAAATCCAAAATGTATCAAATTCATTCTATTCTTGTTCTTCCAACGAAAGCCGAGGAAAGATTTTTTTTTCGCAAAATGTACTACATATGAAATATTGATATCATGTGGAATGTTACACATTTTAAACAGCAAAAAGTGTCAATTTTTTTCTTTAAGTCACTCGAAGCACCTGCTACCGACACGCATGAGTTACCATGGATACCAACACTGTCCTTAGCTGCTTACAGTTTGGCCTAAACATCGTCAACATTTTGACTCATCATCGATTTTAAGCGTTGATGCTAAAATGTGGATACTTTTTAGGTGCTGGTGAAGTGAACCCTAAAGGAAAGCTATCCAGTATACGTCTTCCCTTTATATAAGTACACGAATGACACGATTTGAAATATTGAAATTACTCTAGAGGAAAAACAAACGTTTTAAATTTGTAGGTAGGTATACATTTATTCGATCGCATTACAACGTTCTATGTTCTTTCATAGGTAAGTATCAAAAATATTGTATCTTAATATTCTGTATCGCAAAAGAATTTAAGCGTTGGTTAAAAATTCTGGAAAGCATAAGAGAGCAGTAGTATAAATCTTTTCAAATAAAATTGTTGGCTATTTGACAAAGTGCGGATGTAATTCAAACAACTGACATGATATCTAAACGAAATGTCGGAAAAATGTCGAACTTGTCAATGTCGGTTCTTCAAAAATCGAGCGATGAACGATATAACTCCATGTAAATTATTGAAAATATTATTTCACGCAAGCTCTTTTCGTGAGATTTTCAACACTGAACATTTCAGACATTAAGCAAAAAATTGTAAAACAAATGCTGCATGCAAATCTAAAATCGTCTTCGCGAGGGAAAGGACACTATTTCTTATACGCTGAAGAAAGATTTGACCGTTGTATGAAGACGTACCAAAATAGTAATTAAAATCTGAGTCTTTCATCCAGAAAAAATAATTCAACCGTGTTCTTGATTCATACTCTAGGTCAGCAGATCTTAAATGTTATTTTCAGTTATTTATTTTGCAACTGACTGCCGCGAATTTTAAATTAACACCGAAGTTCAATAATAAAAGAAATGTCTGGCGGTTAACAATTTTAATACAGCGATATATTTAACGGTCGACGAAGCCTTAACCGTTATGTTTATCGACAAATTAATTTAGTGTAATTTCGAGAGATCAGAAATGCAAATATTGCGTAACTTGTAGATTTGACATATAAGTTTAAAAATTGTTTTAAAAATTTGAGAGTTCCGTTTGCAAACAAGAAACAAAGCATTTCAGTGTGAAGAGCAAGAAAATATTAATAACAAGAGATTATAAAATCTCTTGTATTAAAAATCTTACTGCGAAGTGTTTCCAAAATTGTTTGTCAGGATTAAACAATATCTTGTAAATTTTGCACTGAGAAAGACAATTTTGAAAAATGACAGTACTCTTGTTATTCTTGACAACTTGAAAATACGCAGTATATCCAAATTAAATTTTCAACGCCTGCGCCTCTTCGCCTCCATATACAAACGAAAATTGTAAGGTGAGTCAACACTGGCTACGGATTCTAGTTTTGTTTTGATACTAAATTGAAAGTTTTGTCCTATAAAACAAGCAGTTCATGAAGTGGAATAGCTCAACAAAAAACATTTTATTCTTTTCATTGATTTGTCTTTCTTGCAGGTCGACTGTGCGCAGTTAATTTTTACATCGATCATAACTTTTGCAGGCCATATTCTGCAGCATAGCATTGCATGCATGCGCTGTTTTCTGTTGCCAGTGTAGCGATTTTGAGGTATCATGACTCGAATCGTAAACTTGAAAAACAGAGAGAGGATGACTTCTATGCATATTAACGAGGATAATGGATATTTCTCGCTGCGTTTCATAAAATAATCTGTTGACAAACAAAGCCTGATTCTTCAATCTGCCTCCATGGTGGAAATTGTGGGCCGTTTCAGTTCAGGGCGGGCTATAAATTGCCCCTAAAAAGCGCCATTAATACACTAAGGGCTACTGGAATGACCAGGAATGATGTGTTCCTTTTGGGATCCGTCACATCACAATCAGATAGTAGAATAATATCTATGCTTTTTTGTGTCTTTGTAAATTATAGATCAAAACTCATGATGTCACAAGTCGATGACAATGAAATGGACACGCGCTTTGAGGTTGGTCCAACCGTTTTTGCGTAGTTTGATATCAGACCGAGAATGGCCGAGAATAACCGAAGACTTCCCGAAGACTTCCAGAGACGAACTACCATCAGATGAAGGGAGACGCAACAATGTAGACTTTTAAGAATAAAGCTGACTGCTCCCGAACTGAGCAATTTAACTTAATATCTTATTTTTTTAATAGGAGATGGCAGAGATTGGAAAGGAAAGCAGCGCCGAAACTCAGATTAACTCATCAGCGCTCGAACCTGACAAAGACGAAAAAATCAAGGCAAGTATACTAGAATTCCATGGAAATCTGCCGGCAGTGAGTTTTTGTTGCAAGTCAGCTCGCCCACATAACTGTGTATGCTGTGAAGTTATTTGCATTCTTCAATTTCTGAAATTTGCAGGATAACAAAGAGATTCAGGATAAAAGTGAAAGCAACCCAACGATAGAATCCACGACTGCCTCGGAACAAGTATGAGAAACGTTACTGTTGTTTAATGCTGTGCTCGCTGGGCAAGGCGTCAGCTCGTCGCTCTGATGAAGGACTAACGCTCGAAATGTCAGCTTTTAAACTGTTTACGATGGCCAATTTACGTTATCGACTCAGTTAATAATACTAAATTACCCTGTTACACTCTCTCACCGACGCAGGACCACAGTTTCTTTAGAAACTTACCCCCTTTTTTCATTAGGTATTCTTATAGACCCTGTTTTTGATACCAAAAATTAAAATTAATAAAGAATCAAAATTAATTCTGAAGCCTGCTCGAGATTTTCCTCCAAAAGTCAATCAAAATTTTGTTTCTTTTCCCATTTTTTTTTCACTCTTAAACTTATAGCAAATGTTAAAATGAAATGTGAATAACCCTTAGGGTGCGGTGGACTCCTCAAACAAGGAAACTACCGATGAAAAGAAACAGGTAAGATCCTGAATAAAAAAAAGAGCGTGCGCAGTGTTAGCTTCACCTATCAGGGCATTATGGGTGATAGGTCATGTTTCTGATTCCTGAAAAAAACGACGCAACTGCAAAGATCTGCAATGCGCAAAATCACGAAAGAATGACTGCGAACAATATTACGGACCCGCTATTACTTATCGCCTGGAGTCAGAGGATTTTAACAGTAATATTTACCTAATCCCCCCACAAGGCGCTCTAATATTCTAATGATTCCTCCTCATTGGCAGTCAATCTTCTATAGTCCCCTGTAAGAGATTATCAGTGAGCCCACAGTACAAACTATGATTTGAAGCGGGCTTAAACAATGATGCAACCGCGTGATTTGGCGCGAAAACTTATTTAGCGCAGCTTACCCTAGATCTGGGTTCAATGCACCAGTTTTAACCAATCAGATGCCAGAATTTACGATGGGGGAAGGGGTCTTGCTTTTAGAAGACCTGACTGAGGCACTCTCAGCTGAGGTGAATCAACTTTTACTGCATATTTACCTATAGAGTTCCTTCCTTGACAAATATTTGAGCAGTAGTGAAACTGAAGATGATGTGACAGAAAATAAGGAAGAGGAAGAAAAACAAGTAGAAAGGTACGTCCTACATTTCTGTTGTCTTTAAGTCAAACTGATGAGTGTCGTCAGCCGAGCTAAGTAGCAAGCCATGGCATCATAAAGCATATTGTCCTGAAATGAGCTGTATTAAAAATAATAATAAAATAATATATTTTGACTAAAATAATGTTTGCAGAAAACCAGAGAAAAAAAAGGTGAAAAAGAAAACAAACACGCCCAAAAGCGAGAAGCAGTTTACTCCGCGAAAACCTTCTATGAAATGGAAAAACTTGAGGCTGGTTGTCGGTGATGACAGGTAAGAGGCAACAGACTTTGAGCCTGTTTATTTTTTGTGTTGCAAGCCTTCCCTGATTGTTCAACAATATGGTTTGTCGCACTAGTCTTACTTTCCTCCAAGAAATGCTTAACACTTTCACTCCCAAGATCTAATTAGTAATTCTCCTTACTATCTGCCATACAATCCTTATGATGTTAGTTTAGAGAATTTGGTCGTAGGTCAACTAATGATTGCCGAATTGATATTTCTCTTTATTCTCATCACTTGTCTGCTTGACATTGTATTGATATTGTAAGGAGAAATTCTGTCTTGGTCCCTCATGGGAGTAAAAGAGTTAAAGTACACCTGACAAAGACCTCATACGGAAGTCCATTTAATAAACCACGATCTTGAAGTCACTTCTTCCCGAAGTTATCATTTGAACTTCAGGATCTTAAAATGTTTACCTAGGCCTATAATAGCCGCTGTATCTTGTTTTTCCTAACTGTTGTAGTGATGAAGAGGTGAAAGAAACCAACAAACCACAACCGAAATCAAAACAAAACCGCAAAGAAAGGTAAGAAAACGGATCACCCTTGTATTATAATTTGTCACCTTCACGTCATTCGAGGTCTGATTGACTTTTTCTTTGTCATTCAATCATCCATTTACTAGCTCATTCAATTCAACGAGTTAAAAGTTCAGTCTACGAGTAAAAAATTTTGAGAAAAAT